ACCCCACATAAATTCACTAGTAACATTCTCTACATATTCATTTAATATTTCCAATATATTTAAATTTGATTTTAATTTATATTTTTTAATTAAACTAGTAACTTCTTGATGAGAAACTTGATATAATCTTTCAATATTATTTTTAATCAAAAATATTAATATTCTTTTACGTAATTTAAAACATGGATCATGAAATGTTGCAGAAGAAATAGAATTAAATTCTAGAAAAATAAATAGTGCAAAAGTTCTTCTTTCTATATTAATTCCATGTTGTCCATTTATCATTTCACAAGATTTTTTATTCATCTCATAAAGTTGAATTGATAATCCTGATAAAACCGCAATAAAATCATGATCTTTAGATATATATTTTTTCACATCGTCAAATACCAAAACTTCAATTTCTTGTTTCTTATAAAAAAGATATAGTAAAAAAATATTATAGGATTTATATAAAAATAAAATAATAACTGAAATTATTAAAATTTGAAACATTTTTTGTTCCGTTAAAGAATTTTAAAAAAATTCCTTATTTATATTATAATAATTATTAATTTTTATTAGTTTGATATTTTAATTGTAATTCATACTATACCATTTCACATAACAATTTTACTTTTCAAATCTAATAACCTATGAAAACTAATATAAAATTTTCCAAATATTGATATATAACAATACAAAAAAAAAAAATAAAATTACTAAATAAAATCTAATAAAATAACAGTTAAAAATATTATCAATATTTTTTATTGTTTTAAATACTTTCAATCTTCTCCCATTTGTCTTTGTCAAATTCTTCTTTATAATGCTTTTTGCCAGAATTATGTTTAATTACGGTCAAAGTTTTTTCCAGTTCAATATTCCACTCATTGGCATTTTGTTTAATATCATCGATCATGGTTTGATAAATCTCCTCGTAATCTTTTTCCACAAGGATATTGCCAGAATCAAACTCTACACTAGAGAGAGGATCGTAATAATAATCCTCAAAGGAGTCATAAGTTTTTTGTTTTGCTTCATCGGCATTAACATAACGTCCCAGTGGGTCAATACTTGAGTTTAAAAAGTATTTTTGTTTTATATCTCTTTTATTTGCCATAATTGTTTAATTAATTTGATAATTGGTAACAACTTCAGTTTAGGCTTGAACTTGTTTAGAACATATTTATATTGTAATAATTATAAATATTTTTATTAATTCAATACTTGTGTATTATTTAGAATTTTGTTGTTTTAGATTTAAACGATGTTTAATACGTTGTATTAAACGCTGTTTAAAATGGGAGACCGAACACTTTCATGCTCCACCTATTTCTTTAGCAGTGGACTGCTTAAAAAAATTGGGAAATGCCATCGTATACGCAGCATTTGGTCGCTATCGCTCCCATGCTTTGTATTGACGTTTTTCCCAATTTTTGGATTTATTGGTCTAGTTTAACGAATATATTTAATTATTTGTTATCAATTAATAATTCAAAAGATATTTATAACAAATTTAATTTCATTTAAAAATATAAGGATAAGATGAATGGAGTCTGGTATAACGATTCCAACACGAATCCTAGAAGACCCGTAAGTAGTAGTCATTTTGGTTGTGTCACCCATTTATATCAAATTGCATTATTTGATAAACATGATAAACCAATGAATTATAATATTACCGTTGACGAGAATGATTTAATTTTGATCAAAAAACACAAGTGGTATCTCAAGAATGAGATTGTGGTAAATGAGAACAGTGTTACTTTAACAGAAATCCTTACTAGTGCCACCAATGTTAAACTGAAGGAAGGAAAAAAATGTTTTTCACGAAAGAATCTCGTGATATGTGGTAAGAGTGATTTTATTATTCAATAT